CAAATCAGCACAGTCAATGGTGTTGTGCAGTAGCTTATACAAAAATGTGATTGACATGCGAATTCTACGAGAATCTAGAGTTTCAACGCCAAATCTACTTGTTAACATGTCGTAGTTTACACCCATTTCAAGATAAATCTCATCAATTTTTTAAGCCAAATATTTTAGAAACTTTTATATAATATAATATAATATTTTATTTTCTTAAAGGATTATATGACTATTTTTATTTCATAAATAATTTGACATTATGGGAGTTTTGGCAAGAAATAGTTCACCATTTACATAAAAAAATATATACCATATCTTTTTTTTCGATATCCAGAGTGATACATGAAAATTGGGTGGTCAATTTTTTTTATTATTACTTTTTTAATGGAAACCCTATATATTTTTACTAATATAAATTCACCATAATATCTTGTGTATGATTATCAATAGTTGGTACTGGTATTACCAAAATATTTAGAAAATTACTTAAATTATACGGAATTCGTGTGTTGGAATGCCATAAGTAGAAACAAATTTAACATAACGGCAACAATTAAATTTGTCATTGGAACCTTTGGTTTGATTTCAAAATTATGAACATTATAGTTGGACCAGCAGCCATGAAATTTTCGATCTCTTTCAATTTTTCACACTTTTCTTGTATATAACAAAGTTATTGTATTTTGCCATACTAATGGACAATCCTGTATATGTTTGTTGAAAGTCAAAAATGGAAAATACATATTAAATTAGTTTCTGTCATTTCATCAAGATGCATTTTTTATGACATTAACTTACAATATCTCAAAAACAAGCTTCTTGCATGTATCTCCTTATATCAAAATATTTTTTTTTATTAACTCGTGCCATTGAAATTTACATTTTAGATACAGCTTATATAACAGATTATTTTTCCCTTCAAAATTGAATATATGAAAGTTCAAAATGAAACTGTTTTTGACTTACCAATTCTTTTAAAAATGTTTTACAATTACCAGTTACACAATTTTTGGACATAGTAGTAATAAAATAAATAAAAAATTGAGGAAATTTTAGGTTTTATATAAAAGCGTTTTCTTGAAAAAATTATTTAAACCGAAGACTGTGATGCAAGAAGGGAATAAGTTCAATTTTTTTTTTAATTAGGTTTGTGTAGATATAGGTTTAAACATGTAACCTCTTCGTTTGGTGTATATATGGAATCTGTGGACTTAATAGAAACAGAATTATAAGATAAAGACATATAACTTGCCCCTTGTTCACATAGGGGTTACTTTTTGAGCTTGGTATTTGTTCTGGCCATTTGTTTATCTAAAACATTATTTTAGTAATAATGTTGCATACAGAAAAACATTTTGATTATTACTTGATCAGTTTTCCATCTGGTGTAAATTTCAAAATAAAAATGGATAACAATGTATGCGTATTCACCTATCGTATTCTTGCACTTTAAATGATTTTTTGGACATATCATTATATGAATATTTCTCTCCATGTGGCAACAAACGATGCTAATTTAAAGACACTTATTTGCATATTGGATCTTATCCCCTTGTGGCATCAGGGTCTATAATTGCATATACATGGTATATATTTGTATGTGTAGGCATATTTCAGTTGGAGTGAAATTTGTCGTTGTAATTGTTTGTCTAATGCAAAAATTTACGGAAATTATAGAAAAATATTGTAGCTAGCTGTTCCTGCATCATCAACTACTTAATAAGTTTTACACTTGTCTGAAAGGAAAATTGAAGAATTTGGTATGACATTGTAAAAAATTGGTTTTATTCTCTACACCTACAGGGTGTTTGCTAAAGAATCTCGCCACTAGATTCTATGAAAATTAATGGGGGTAGTACAAATAAACATTTGTTAATAGATAAAGAATGTTAAAGATAAAAAAATAAACTCGGTCATATCTCGAAAACTTACAAAGCAACTGTTTTCTAATTTTATATGATGAATAAGTGTAGATTTCTATTATCAGATGTAGTTCGGTTGATGTTCTAAGTAATTGATACACGACCAACTATAATAAAAATGCTATATTTGCATTACAAAATGCACCATTTTCAAGAAAAAACTGAATTTTAACTGTTCATTAAACCATTGACAATATCGTACTCGTTTGTTGTGATCAGGACGTACCTCCCGCACAATAGAAACCTTATAGGGATTAGTCCAGTCGGTATCTGTTTTAAAAGTAGGTTGTATGGATGTTTCATATAGTAATTAGTAACGCTAATTTTTGATGGAAATAGTCCTAAATATTAGGTAAAATGATAATTGCGATATGCGCCCGCTGAAAAAGTTGTGCATAATTGTTAGTGCAAGAAAAGATAAAAAAAAATTAAAAAAGGCGCATTTTCCTCCCTTCTTTCATGTATAACCCGGAGAATATTGACATTAGAGAAAATAGTCAAAGGAAAAAATGTTTTGTTTGAAGATTCTCTTCAAAATAAAAGTGGTCCGAAATTTTCTATGTGCATTATTGTTGCTGCAATACAGTATAGACTGAAAAAAAATTCGTGAAAAAAGATGTTTTTTTCATGAATTTATTTCGGACCTTTACTTTAGAGCAGCCATATAAAAAGTGTGGTTCTGAGTACTTCAATGATATGGTAGTATTGCAGAAATTTTTTCATCGAAATCGGTCGGGTAGATTTCGCACAATTCAATTGTTAATTAAGAAAATACAGAATTCTTATTTTTCAATTTTCTCTCATGGTAAAACTAATGATTATTTTGAGCTCCGAATTTTTGTATGTACCCATTAAAAAATTTTCGATTTTATCCATTTTAGCAACAATTAGATTGTTTTCAAAATTTCTTCGAAAAAAATACTTATAAACATTTAGAGCTGGAGCTACCGTATTTGCGTATTCTTCAAATACAGGATCAAATAGAGGAAGGATTAACAACAAAATCCACCTTTGATCTTGTGGATAGGATGAATCTACATCGAGATATGAAAGCTCAAAGTTGAAGTGATTTTATGGCAAAACAACGTACTGTACAATAACAATCAAATGTAATTTTGATTGTTTGAAGCAAAGACTTTATAACTATGAAAATTCGTTACAAAACGAAGGTAGAACAGATATTACAAAACAAATGTTTTAGAAAAACCTTTTCTAATTTTAATTTTCCAAAATTTAATTTTTAATACTTTTTCCAAACAAATATTTTTCATATTTGCTCAAGAAAACAAGTTTTACAATGTCATGTCATAATTAAGTTTTCCTGATCAGAAGAATTTCATAAATATCAAAATTAACATTACTATTTTTCATTTATTTATTATAATTTTCTTGTAAAATAGCATTTTTCCATAGATTGCAAAAATTACAGTTGATACTTTTATTAGCTTTTCTGCTTGATAATGATACAAGTATTGAAGTAAGTTTGTGTCAAGTTGTCAAGCACCATCTCTAGTTTACTTCATGGACATTTTTTACTCTTTTCCCCATAGTCTTGACCAGCATTATTTGTTGTTGTTATATATGTGTAATTTAGAAGCTGCTTTATTATACTTTTAGTAAACTTGGAAAAAGATTTCTTTACAAACCGTTTTTCATCTTTATCAAACCAATGTATAATTCTAGCATGGAAAACTTGTATATTCGGTTTAAGGACTAACCAGCCTTATAATTTTTTATTTAATGACCGAATTTGACAAGTTTCTTTTGCTAAGTAGATTAAAGAGAATTGGAAGCATGTCTCAATCATGTCATTTCCAAAACCACATCCAACAGCAATCATTTTTTCCAATAGATTCTTGCTAAGAGTAACCTTAAATCACAAATATGTCGGTTTTTGTAAAACCAGTGTACACTGTGTTTCAAATTATTAAGAATATATTTTTAAGTAGATAGATATCAGTAAAATTACAGCAGTTTCTGGAAAAAATGGATACTACAAAAAAGTTGCAAATAAATGTAAAAAGTTCTCAACTCCCTACTGCTAATATTTATAGTTTTTTTTTTTAGATCACCTTGTAACATATCGTGTAAATATTGCTCAAATAACATTTGGAAAGGTGTGGGATATAGCCTGCAAAATATGTCTTATTTTAAATGTCATTGCTGGTGGTGAGCTAATTCGAATTAAAAATAACCTCCTGATAATCCCATTATTGAAATAATCTAAAGGATCCAATTATTAATTCAAATTGTAGTGAACAGCAGATACTGGATATTTTATTGGATACGTTACAAGTATTGTTACGGATCATTGCATTTTTAGAATGACTACGATCGATCCAGGCAGTGTTGCTACTTTTCATTAGTTGACTTAATTACTAAAAAAAAAATTAATAGATACAATAATTATAATTGAATGAACTTTTTTATGTGTCTAATTCCTAGTAAAATATAATTATCCAAATCCAAAATCCAAATCGTCCAATTATGGGAATAATTCATAACTTAATTATCCAATTATTAAAATAATTCGATTATTTTCAACTTTAGTAACTGGCACAAAGCAATGAATGCATAGTACATGCTGACAGAGAGCGACCTACTGATCTGTAGGTACTCTAGATGTTTCCCACAATATCATTAATTAAAATATCTACAAATGTGAAAAAAATAGTAATTATGCTGAAAACTTTTTAAAATTATATTTTCTTTAAAAATATGTTAAGGATGTTGATCATAATTATTTGTTTATGTTTGTGTTTCAGGTTACTGAATAAGAATCTGTTGGGATGTTTTTCCTAATAAAATCTGTATTACTGCTTTTAATTTTTGTACCAAAAATAGTCATAGATGGCTATGACCTTGAATTATTATATTTTATAAATTATAATTATAGAAATTGTATGGGGACATACCACCAACACGTTTTAGGAGGACTGTGTAACATTAAAAAAAATTCATTAGAATCGATCAATAAATAAAAAAGACCTAGGGGTGGCTAGTTCTTAAACAGTAGACGTCATTTAAACCTTAATCAGAGCATATATTAGAATAATCGTATTATATAAGAAAATTTGTTTATTTTAGGAATTGGGTAACTCCGAAGATGCTCAAGACTCTCAACCAGTAGCACCCATGTCAGTTCAACCAACGCGAAAAATGAAAGCTTCCTCTCTAGGTGTAAATGCTTTGAAACGATTATAACGTTTTGTATAAGTTTTACTTTTTAATAATATTTTATCGAATCAGATATATTTGTACATATAAAGTTAAGAATGATCATTTTTATCCGCTTTTACTCTAAAACAAGAAAAAAATGTAAGTAGCTAGCAAATATCGAATGTTATATTTGTAAATTTTATAAATTTGCAGTTCATTCACATTTCATTCAGGAATATTTTATGTATTATATTTATTCATTTTACAAGTTTTAATAGTTCTACAACTTGTAGTTTTATACTGTGTTAAGTAATACACCTTATAGGTGATATTTCAAAACATTAAAAAAAATAAAACAATTTAGGCAGCTTCCCGATATTGTTTTAATTATTATAGTTATTCTTTATTGAATATATCTCTTGCTTTGCTCTTGTGAAAATGATTCACTACAGATCAGTATTCTTTAATTTTTAATTTACAGATGTTTAACATTGCTACTTTCAAAAAAGTATGTTAATTAATCAAAATAATTATTTAAAAGTTGTCTAGATGAAAAATTTTAGAAAACAAAGAAATAATATCAAACAGGTGAAGATCATTTCATATTGAATTATTCCAAAGTGTATATGATAAAAATTATGTCTTTTACAAAATAGTAAAGAAAAAAAAAATTTTTTTAAATAAGGTAAGTAAAAAATTAGTACACCTAAATTTAATATTTTCGACATAACACATATTGGTTTGAAGTATAATTTTTTTTTTAAAAAAGATACAGGGTGTATAGGTTAATAAAATAATTGTTTTCTTTTATACAGGGTGTAAGAAGTTTGACTGCCATTACTTGAGCATGAGATAGAGTAATCATAAATGAAAAAAAAAGTTGTATATTACAGGGGCGTAAGATTAACAGTTTTCAAAATACAGCGAATATTAATATTGGGAAGTTTCATCACAATGTGACAACAGCGCTTAACCTAACGCTACACAGCTGGTGCATACCACGTGTGCACGCGGCAAACTTGTCCTACGGAAAAAATGTAAACAACTATTATTGTGAAACATTTAGTAAATTTCAAGACAATTGTTTTCCACTTTTTAAATAAATAAAATAAAATGTATC